GCGCCACACTCCGCCCGATTCGTCTCCCGACACTGCGTCTCCAGCGGCGCGAGGTCATGGACGCAGCAAATCAGTCGATGCGGATGACTACAAGGGTATGTACTGGCACCGCTCTGATACCAAAGGTAACAAAACCCGGGAGCCGCTTGCTCGGTCATCCACAAGGCTCATGGGATCTCGTCCGTGGCTCAAAAACCAGCCAGTTACTGCGACTTCGACCACAGAGCAGATAGCCGTTGAGAGCTTTTTCGACAAATATGTCGTCTATCCATGCAGCCATAACTCCTCTGCTGGATTTTTGGAGCATCTTCCAGTGTCATTCAAGGAGGTGAATGTCGATGGGCGATGTGCTCTGAGGTGGGCAGTCCTTGGCGCCGGCCTCGCTGACACGTCGAGGGATGGTGATCCGGCACTCGCGCAGAAAGCATTTGAGTGTTACGGTCAAGCATTGAAAGCATTAGGCAGGTCTTTGAGTGAGAAGAGCAAGATTCCTGATGACTACGACTTGATGACTGTTGTCGTGCTGGACATATTCGAGGTAATGTCACAGCTACAATTCACACCCGAGGCACGCTGACCGGTCTAGACGCTGTTCATCCCTGAGCAGGTACACCGAAGTTCTCATTCCGAAGGTATGGCACACATTTTGCGGCTGCGCGGAGTCGAGCAGTTTCACGACCCACGGGGTTGGGGCCTCTTCCGGCTTGCTCTGCACCGTCTTCAACAAGAGCAGCTTGCGTTCAAGAAAGACTCTCTTCCAGAGTCTGAACTAATGCTCAACCATCTCAGCGACGATGTTCCATATGTACGACTCGCAAAAGACGCTCAAGAGGTCTCCAAGATCTGCGCACGCGGCCGAGAGCTAACGGGGAGACTTACTGGTGGTAATCTCCAAGCTGAGGAGATAATGGATCTGGTAAGAGAGATGCATAAGCTAGATCAATCTCTTGTCAAATGCCGACAAGGCTCGGAGTGGTCGTTCGATATCCGCAAGACAGCAGATCTCCATGGCGAGGTCCAGGTTCTTTCTACCTTCCCGGAGCACATTGAGCTGCATGCAGATGTTTGGAATGCGTACGAGTGGAACTATCATCGTACCGCGAGAATTCTCATGCATCAGCAGCTCATTGCCTGCTTACACCAAGCCGCTTCGGTAACGATGGATTTCGAGCGATACTCACACGACGCTGCGATAGTTGGCCCACTGGAAGAGGAAAGCACTAGGACTATACGCAACCTTGCGAATAGGGTGTTGTCAACAGTGCCACAGATGTTAGGGGACATCGATCATAGCGGCCGCGTAAGAAGACTAGATACAAGCCCACCGCGTTCTAGGGCAATAGGTGCATACTTCCTCTTGTGGCCTGTCAAAATCATAAAAGGAATTCAGTCCAATTGCTCGCAGGACCAGAAGGTAGCCGCACAGGCGGTATTTGAGCGGATCAGGGAGTATACTGGGATGAAATCACATCTTGGAGATCTTAGTATCGTTTAAACAGACAACCCGCAGCCTTACTGGGATCCCACCTGCTAGTTGCATGGGTTCCCCGTCTCTGCTCCAGTGTCCGTTATCTTGATGCCTCCTATCCCGAGAGTTTAATCATTGAGAATCTACACGTGATAGTTGTCATATTGTGTGTATGTCGATAAGCAAAACAATATTCAACCTGAGGGTTTGTGAGTTTAGTTGAGTTTACGTCATGTGAGAGCCTCTACAAATAAGCACACAGATTGGTACGTTTATGGACTGGCCTAGGGTTATGTGCCAGGCGGGGAGAGGGGAATGAGTGGTGCCCTCGGAGGTAGTCCCGATAGCCAATCCGCTCGCACTGCACTGTCGCCCCTAGGTACGGAGGCCGCCTTGCAAATGAGTTAGCCCAAGCATGAAAGCTCGGCTTGACCAACTTTGCACAACTGTCACGGAAGAGCTGTCCGGAGTCACTGGCATTGCGACCACGCACCTGCAGCCGAGCTGCCGCCTTGTCAGATTCTTGTATGTTTTGGCCGCCAGATGATCTACCTACTGTGCCAAACAACCGTACGATCCTACTAACACTGGCGCAGCATCATCGCATCCGGCACTGAGTCGTCTCAACTAAACACATATATCCTACGAAACTTATAGCGATATGTCGTGGAGTATATAGGTGGTGGCAAGAAGGCGCACCATAGCATAGGCATATTCCTAAACACATTTATGACAGCCTGCGAGGGCCCGGAAGATGCAGCAGCGACCGGGTTCGTATCGGCCGCTGCTGCCGGCCTCAAGTGGAGGAGGTGCCTCCTCCGGTGGTCACGGATCCAACAATCCGGATGACGGGGCCGCCCGGTCCAAACGCGCAAGGCATTATGGCACTAACCGGGTCGCTTGTGATGCTTGTCGAGCTCGGAAGATCGCGGTGAGTGCAGGTGGAGGAAGTCTCGTTTCGTCCCTGTCGTTCATCACTCGCGCTTCAAATGATCTTATCATTCTTACCTCCCTGTGTCGTCATCCTGACCGAGGAGCCCCGCTAGCCTGCACATACCAATATGGTGAAGTCGGATTTGGGGAGAAGCGCCTCAGTTAAGTGCTGAGAGCACGCCCTTACCACCTACCTCTATCAACCAGTCCTGTTCCCACTTTACCTGCCCCAGTATTGGTGGACCATGTATTTGAGCCACATGTTAGGCTTTGTCTCTTTGCATTCCCTGCTTGAGCCAGGTTCAGCTTCTGTCTTTTCTTTTAATTTGCATTCACGATGAACCCTGGCAAGGGGACTCGACGGCCATCGAGCGTCGTGCTCTGTGTTGTGTACTAAATTACTAGATACAGCCAATCATATTCATCAATGACCATATATAAAAAGAGCGGCTGGCTAATGTTTACGTCTTTGTTTGCTCATTCTAGTGCGACGCTCTTCGGCCAATATGCTCAGCCTGCAAAAGTCGCGATTCGGTCTGTGTGTATACACCGCGCTTAACAGCCTCCGAGGAGGAACGACACGCTATGGATACTATGAGACTCGAGATTGACGACCTACGCCAGAGGCTTGAAGACACTGATGAAGTGATGACAATGCTTAGATCAATGTCCGAGCCGCGGTCTATTGAGCTTCTGAAAGGATTGAGATCTGCTCCCGATGTGCCGACTTTCATTGACCAGGTGGGAAGTAGAAGGTCTTCTGGTGTTCAGGGCAGCCAGCTTTCCTCCCCGGGGAAGGGTACAACACCATCCCAGTCCACCTCTCAGCCGCCGTCACAATCTAGTTTGGAGTTTGAGTTGATGATGCGGCATGCAATCGCTTACCCAACCTTGTATCCGGTTGAAGCAACCCGCATACATGTGCAAAAGCTTTCTCCGATCAGACGCTTTATGCAAGACTCAGGCGAAAGACGTGAGTAGCCATCATCTCTCTCCATTCGCATACCCTTGCTGCTCCATGAACTACACACTAAGGCTTTCTTAGGACTACCCCTGATCTTACCTGTCTCGCCCGAGTCGGAAGCCAGTAGTAACACGAGTCACGCTGGCTCCAACTCGGCATTCAAACCTCCAGCTAGAGTCCATGTTCTTTGTGATAATCGCCTTGCTAAACTGCAGGTTAGTAGGTGGACGGATGTTTCTATTAGTGACGGCATTGCCGCTACTGCCATTTCGCTATATCTCGAGACGGATCACCCCGTCCTGGGCCTTTTTGACGCCGATTTATTCTTAGACGACCTCATTGCTAAGCGGTCGGAATTCTGCTCTTCGCTCCTTGTCTGCGCATTATTATGTTGGGCCTGTGTTCGTAAACCCATCTCTTGACCTACATTAGGATCGTGGACCTAGGTGGCCCGTTTGCTGACCAAATAAAAACAGCAAGCCTACGCTCATTTTGAACCAGCGTCAAGAGACCTGAGTCTGACGTTTTGGGACAAAGCTGAGCAGTTATGGACGCAGGAGAAAGACTCACCGCTGCTAACTACCGTCGCAGCGACGCAGCTCATGAGCTTAGCAGGCATCTGTCATGGTAAAGATGCACAGGGATATTTCTACATGAAAAGGGGTGTAGAAATGGGGAAGAGAATGGGTCTCTATGGCGTCTCAGAAAGCGGCTCTGCTAAACAATGGCTGGACGACCATGTCAACTGGAAGAAGGCAGCGTCACAAACCGCCTGGGGTGTGTTCAATTGGGTCACGTATGTCCTGCTAGTATCTCTTAAGCTTGGTTGATCTAGAGCTGATATCTTCAGATTTCGCTGCCTTCATTATAAGACAGGTCAGATTGAGACGCCTCCACACCTTCCTATACCCGGAGATTACCAGAGTGGCCAACAGCCCAACGAACAGGAACACTCTCGGTCATTCCCGCTATACATGGGAAAGACTTTCACCGCAATGTGCCGTTTCTGGCCCATCATTCACGAGGTCATTTGGGCATATTATGACAGCGAAGATTACGTTGCCCCTGCATCCCGAGCTCACTTCAACTTTGCCGAAAGCGCATATCAACGGCTACTTCATTGGGCGGATGAGCTATCGGTAGATCTTGCCAGAGGCAGCGAGAGCAAACACCATGTGGTCATTGCGCAGTGAGCCTCATTTATATACCCCCTACAGCCGCATTCTCCAGTGTGGTCCGGTGTCTTATATTGTAACGTAAACTGACAAGCTTGACGATAGCATATACCTTCACGCCTCTATAACCGATATATTCAGGCCATTTCTTCGAGGCCCCATACGCTTTCAAAACATGACAAGCTTTTCATCTGTGTCGAGTAGTCCCGAGGCCGTATTTCTTGCGTCTGTCAACCAATTGAAGCGCTTGTTCTTGGTCTACAAGGCGAGCTTCGCGTCTGCGAATCATTGCTTTTTGTGGCACACTGCTCTGCTCTACGTTGCTAACGCGATGCTTCGAAATCGAGAGCTAGGAGTGGATCCGGAGTGGGAGACATGGCTTCAAATGTGTCTGTCGGGCTACAAAGATCTTTCTAGGTGCTTCAAGGTGGCGGAGACCATATACCGAAGCTTGCTCTCCATGGCCATGCGGAACGGCGTCATGACCGCTGCTGAGGCTCAGGATGCAATCGAGCAGCTCGGTGTTGCGTTGAACAATCCCAAGATGATTGAAGAGCCAACATCGATGATTGTTGACTTGGACCTTGCTATGACAGATCCACTGGCGGCCCGCGCAGGAACTCTGGCAGAGCAGTTCAAGGATCTTGCGCTGTTTGACGAGTTCACAACCTCCACAACAGTGGCAAATGAGCCAACAAAGATGTGATAGCAACAATGCTGGTAGACTTCCCGAAAACAAATTCATAATTTATTGGCTTTCCATGGATTCTACAGAATGACAGCCAAATAATGTATCAAACTTCTTTGTCGAGTTTGCTCAGTGATTCTTACGGACATGTATCAACAAGCACAATACTCGCCAGACTTGCCGACACTCACACATTAACTAGCTTCTTCGTTCTTTGAAGTAGTATCTCAACTTGTTCTAGAGCCCTAATGCTCTTCGTGGCCATTCTAGAACATCGTCCAAGTCATGCCCTAAAGTCTCGATGATGGGTGTTGCGACTCTTACAGCCCAGCCATCCAGAAACCACCTCCTGGGAGCCTTTCTCATCACAGCGCACCAATAGGTGAATATCACAAGCGCCATTCGCTCCCTTCTTGCAAGAAGTGACATGTAGTCTGATTCCAAGTTGGATGGCCACCAGATAAGATGGATCCAAGATCGTGGATGGCCACATGTCAAGACGAGCCAATCTTGAAGGCTTGAGATTGCAGCATTGTATATTTTCTTGGTAGTTTCATCTGCAGCGTGGCACGCGTTGTGATCGGCCAGTCCTTTGAATGCAAGACTTGTGTCTACATCCAGTGCGAATACAGTACTGCCAAGCTTACCCTGGATTATACTTCGCAGACTACTGGCTTGAAACCAGGGCGTGATATCTGAGACTAGCAGAGATGCATGCCGTAGAAAGAACATGGTCTCCATGATAGATGTCGATGGTTCGCTTTTAGAGATGCCGAAGTGAAATATGCCAACTCCTACGGCAAAGACCAGAGTCGCGAGCCAGTTTCGCTCAGACACATCTGAGATCTCACGTCGGAACAATCTCGACGCTTCTAGATGATGTGCGCATGCGGCAACGTATAGATAGCCACTGCTCGGCGTTGTAGTGAGGTGGCTGTGGAGCGATGCGATGGCGAGGAAGTTGTGCTGAAGGAAAGACTGGTGCTGTACTTGACGGGCAAACTCAGCCTCCCAGATCTGATCTTCAAGGTCAAACAACGAGAAAGTGGTGCCTGGCCGCAGGCCAAGTATGCCGACAGTTGTAGCATGGCGCTCTTGGCTAGCTTGGAGACGAGCGTTGAGGACGAGAGCATTGTTCTGTGGCTGGCTGGTCTGCTGGCTCGTGGTATCGGGAAATAGAATCTGATAGTCACAAGGCTGTCCTCGCCTCTTGCAGTTTCTGCAAATAGGGGGCTGCAAATCGCACTAGACAAGTTTGTCGTAGGTCAGCACACTGTAAGCATTGAGGCGACGAGCCACTGCCCTACCTTTACCCGTCGCTTCTTACATTGTCCACAGCCATTCCTCGATTTGGAATGGAAAGCTCGTGATCCACGCGGCATCTCGGCAACATAGGGGTCGGGATGGGTTGCTGATATAGACAATCGGAGCGAATGTATGCACCACCTAGTGTACCCCAAACACAGTCTTAGCTGTGGCTGTAGGAATTTGGTCGCAGAGCATCGCCCTGTTGTGCTAGCTCAGTCGCTTATAATCAGAAAGGAAATAGACTGCGAGCATTCGCCAAAGAAATGTCTCGAAACATGCTGAAATGGCGGGTTGACTTTGACAGCAATCGTGGTTTGACGAGGATGGACGTACAAGAATGAGATGGACCGGAACATGATTACGGCATGGTTAGCAGCCCAGGCTGCACTAGAGCCGAAGTGGTCTAGTGTACGAGGTCTTGATTCGTAGGCGAATCTCGCAGACCGCTGCCTGGGAGACAATGAGGTACACTTCCATGAGATAAATCACTACGGTGATATAAATCCCGATTCCCGTTGAACTCTTGACAAACCTCTCCATATCGGTACATTGTGGTCGATTTTATGTGGACTTTTTGCCGTTGCAAACCGGCTACTGCTTCACTTGGAATATTGTACGAAACGAGAAGATCAAGTTCCCACCGTCAGTATTCACCACCGCCGGCCCTCGCTCGCACGATGGAGACGGTCATCATCCGCCATCATCCGCCATCATTGTCGAACAACAGTATCGATGATGTTCAGCATGAATAAAAAGGAGAGACACACATTAGTCAACGAATTTAGACCGACTTGATTTCCCAGTTATCGTCAAATCCGCATTCTCTGCGTCATCAACATGAGCTTTCTCGCGGCCCTTGCTGTGTTTGGTATTCTGACAAGGCAGTCTATTGCATGTAGTTGTCATTTAAAGCGAGATGGCCCTGAACACGACGAAATGGGTGCACTCGCCCATTGCGCAGGCAACCGTGCACCTCAGACAAGATTTGCATTCGAAAACGTGCATATCTCCAATGGCTCGACATTGGCTTGCCTCGTAGCCTGTGCATCGAGAATGGATTTATCGCCGAACCATCCTGTTCATTCGAGAAAGCGGAGGTCATTGACGGTGGTGGAAATATCCTGCTCCCCGGCCTAATTGACGTTGACGGCCATGTGCACGTCCCGGACGTCGAGGCTTACAGGCGTTGACGTCCTATGGAGTCACGACCGGGCTTAATATGGGTTGTTCAAACCGCACTGGATGCCTAGCCCTTCGTGAAGCATCGGGTAACGGCCTCGCCTCGATCCTAACAGCTGGTGTTCCCGCCGTAGGTCCGGGTAGCCTGCACTGGGAGCTGGCCTCTCGTCGCGGCCGGCTACACACCGGCGGAGGCCCTGAGAGCAGCAACTATCCTGCCAGCAGAGAAGCACGGCTTGTAGGATGGAGGCGTTATAGAGCCAGGAATGAGGGCGTATCTGGTGTTGTTGGAAGAGGGCGCAAATCCACTGAAGAACAGCACTAACACGCTGAAGATCGCTAGGATTTGGGCTGGCAGAGCTGAGTTCACTGAGATGCCCAAGGCGTAGGAGCTCCCGCCTACGAGAGAGCACGTGCGCAGGATCCTGACTTGTATTCCTAGGACATCGAATTCGTCATGATCAACTAATTACGTGTTCGGTGAGCTGTCTATTTCGGTGGCTGGCTCGAACACCGTTTGGCGATTGGTTTTCTGATCCAGCGACATTGACAAATTAATTTTGAGGTAGACTAACAATTTACGGAGTGGTGATTACGAATTGGACAACTCGCTGAGAAGCGCCACGTGATACCCTGATTTGAGTTGTTTTAGGTATCGCCGACCACCAGAATGCACAGAGATTAGGCGACTGGATCCAGCCGATTCTAGCGCCTTCGCACCATCTTTGGCTACCTTTACTCAACCAACCCCGTCAGTGCTGACACACAAGGCTGTTTTTACATATATATTGCGCCACATCGACGACAACAACAGATTCATCATACATTCAAGCAAGCATCAAGCAAGCATCAACTGAACAAAAGCAACGTCAGCAACAGCGCACCTTTCACAGCCCTTGGAAAAAGACAAGCAAGAATATGGGCGGCGACGACGACAAGGTCCACCACATATCCTCCGCGGCGGAGCTGGAGGCACTGCTCGCCTCCACCACCTACGTCGCCGTCGACTTCTTTGCCGACTGGTGTCCGCCATGCAAGGCTATCACGCCCGTCTTTGCTTCCCTTGCCGCTAAGCACGCTATACCAAACGTCCTGGCCTTTGCCAAGGTCAACGTCGATCACATCCAGGAAGCTGCCGTCAAATACCGCATAACGGCCATGCCCACCTTCCTGTTCTTCAAAGAGGGCAAGCAGGTCGCCGTGAACGGCCAGGCCATCATACAGGGCGCCGATCCTCGCAGCTTGGGTGCCGCTGCCGACAAGTTGGGTGGTCTCGCCAAGAAGAGAGCTGAGGCTGCGGCTTCATCATGAAAGTACTAGGAGCTAGTTCTCTTGATGGCTCCACGGATGGGAGGGAGGGTCACAGAAGGTAGCAGTCATCATAAGCGCTCGAGGGTGCTTATCACTCCGCATGCAGTGATCGAGTAGCGTATAGCGGCAGCAGACAAAATTTAATGAATCTCGAACCCCTCATCTCTTCCACGCTCATGTTAACTCTGTTGAATGAATGCCTCTCATTTTTAAACCAGTAAGAACGGGACGGCATGGCCCGACTCTGGCCGTTCAATGAGCCCGTAATTATGTGTGATCATTATGTCTCTTTCAGGTTTGTTCCGCCAGCTGTGCAACTGCCAAGTCAATATCGGTCAAAGACCATGGTATCCACGATTTGTGCTCGTCGTCAAGTAAGTCATGAGATCGTCTCAATAGATGGACCGCCCACCCATCGAGAAACCACTCACCCTCGTGCAGCTTGAGAAGAACACAAAAGTGTGCAAAGATCGTGACGGCTCCTTGCTCTCGCTTTTTTAATAAATGGATCAATGAATTCGACTCAACCCAGATCCAAATCATGGCGTCCAAGACATCTCTCGGAATATTGGGGTCCTGTGTCGACCGGAAAGATGCATCGAGCTCATGGAGGGCGTGGTCATATATGCTGAGCAAATCTTCATCTTGGACTGATGCGTGTATTCGTGCTTGAAGAGCTAGGAGCCACGGGGTTTTACAACCTTCACAGGCGGCTCGGAATTTCACCCTAGCCATGGCCCATGCCATGAAAGGCCTGAGATGCGGGCCATCCACGTCGACCCCAATCTCATCCACAATGGACTTCGCACCGCTGACTAGGAAAGCCCAGTCTGGATAGTTGTTCTCATCGGCAAAAGGATATCCGTCTGATTTGTGACCACTGGCAAGGGCTGCCAACCGTTAGCAGCACTATCTCGCCAACCCTTCGAAGACTTGCACTTACCAAAATAGACCGTCAATACTGAGAAGAAAAACAGACTTGTGTTGTGCTCCTTATCTATGTTTTCCAACGGTTTCATTGCTGATCGAGACGCGTCTTGAAAAAACATGATCGCATGCGTAGTATAGAAATCTCTATTTTCAGGCCGACTGTGCGCGAGGTGCAGTGCGGAGACAGCGAGAACAGCCCGCATAACGTAATCGTACTTAAGACCAAGCTCAATAAGACTCGTACGAAAGAGCTCTTGCATGCCCTGGTCAATAGAAAGAGTGTGTCGCGTACACTCGGTAAAGTTGTGGAAGAGTTCCAACTCAAGCAGAGGAAGCTTCTCAGGCTTCGGTTCGGGTAGACGTGCACTTTGAGGACTAGCCCGTCTCTCTATACTGGCTGAATCTGCAGAGACGTCGGAATACGGGCATGCAACACCACGAGCAATGCAATTGAGACATGCTGGGCGTCTTTCGTCACACTGAAGTCCACGTTAGTCAATCGTGCATATCTAAATACAATCATTCGTCTTTGTGAAGTCATTGTTAACTAAAGAAGAGTGCTTACCTTGATTTTGCGGTCTTTGCAACTTTTGCACCCAGTCCTGCTCCTCCTAGGCTTCCGCTTTACAACGTCCCAACGGTGGGTAGAAGAGCTTGCAAGCAGGGCAGTTGTTCTGGTTTGAAAATTGGTTAGGGGCGATGGTGTAGCAGTCTCAGGAGATATCTCCGGACTCGATTCATCTTTGCTCTCCATAACGACAAAGGAGGTAGCTAGGCTTCTAGTAGTGGCTTTGGGTTGGTTGACATATGCCTCCACTCACTGGGCACTATCCAATTGGGTGTTGCTGAACAGATTGCAGGAAAAATGTACAGAATAGCCTTGCTCATTATCAACGCTGCGAGGCGGTCTGGTCCGGAGTGAGCAAATCGGCGTTCCTTAATGTTGTCTCTTGTGATGGAGAGGGGAGAAGTGTCTTACCCCTGCCATTGGACCTGACTCGTCAAATTCGCTATCCGCATGGGCCCACTCTAGGGTGTCTCTAATCGGCAAGCGAGTAGTCAGCCAATCAAAGGCGAATATGGGTTTTGAGCTACACACTCGGGTGTGCTTCCAGTCGGTTATGAGATCTCCTTCGTCCGCCTCAGTCAAAAGTGCTGCGCCTCCGTGTTGATGCTCGGGTCTGGGTAATTTTTTTCTAATTTAGAGACAGATACCTCTACTTATTCCTAATAACCTTTTATTTCTCTACTTTCATTCACATCGACCAAAGTTTTTTATTCTCTCTACTTTGTTTAGTTCCGTATTTTGATTATTGATCTAAGTGAAAGCCATTGAAATGGTTTCAACCAGTGTCATATCCATCCGCGGAACAGCCGATTTGTGCGATGTCAACACTACGATTCTTGGCTATCGTCCAATCGAAGGCGTGAATCTCTTCCTTGCCATAGCATTTGGACTTTGCGCCATTTTGACCATTGTCATTGGCACATGGAAGCGCACGTGGAGTTTCTCCCTTGCTGTAGGGATTGGTTGTGCTCTTGAGTGTGTAGGTAAGCAACAGATCAATATTGGAGAAAGCCAACGTCAATGTGTACTGATAGTGACGCAAGGTTATGTCGCTCGAGTCCCTTTGCATTCCAATCCCTGCAATACAAGTGCTTTCCAGACTCAGCTGGTCGCTATTATCCTCGGACCTACTATCATTTGTGTCGGACTATACTTGACCCTTAAGCATATCGCTCTCGCTGTCAACCCAATGCTATCACGAATCTCTCCGAGGCTCCTGCCGTTCATCTTCGTCCCGGCCGACGTTTCCTGCCTGGTCGTACAGGCAGTTGGAGGTATACTTGCGGTTAAAGCTGGTGGCGATACCGGTGTGAAGGACCCTAAGCTGTTGGATATTGGTGACAAGATAATCATTGCCGGCATCTGTCTACAGGCTACGGTGCTTGGAGGTTTCGGTTTTGCCGCTGGTGACTATCTTCTGAGAAGCAAGCGGTGGATAAAACAGGGAGAGCCAGGAGAAGAGATTACCGCTCTTTGGAACAACAAGAGATTCAAAATGTTTCTTTTTGCGCTTATAGGAGCCTACGTCTTCATCATGATTCGGTGTATTTACAGGTGAGTCAATCCTATATGAGTCCGTAAACACACTTTAGCTAAACAATTAGGATTGCGGAGATGGCAGAAGGATGGGGGTAAGTCAATCCACAAAGCCTTCGAAACAATCGTTGACGTTTCAAGGAATGATATCATGCAAGACGAACCATCTTTCATTGCTCTTGAGTCTTTGTAAGTCTACCTGCGCAATGATGACTATTTTCATTACTTCTAAGAATTACGTTTTCTAAATATTTGTAGTATGGTGCTTGTGGCTTCCGTTTTATTATCCGCATTTCCACCCGGGTTCTTTTTCCCTAGCATGTCTACTCCCATTCAGTCGAACCGGTTTAGACTCTCATCCTCCCGAAAGCCACAGTCGGAGAACGAATCCGGAAATCAAACCACTGAAGATGACTTCTTGTCCCGAACAGAGGAACAATATACCCTACACGAATACGGGCATAAAAGGGCGATGAGGCGACAAGACTCGGAGCCAATGGCAAATTGGGAATGAAACTCTTTTCATATGGTTGTCGACCATAGATATCACTACATAAGCCCAATCTTCAATCAATACCCCAGATTGCTTATAGAGTTGCACATCCGGCTACGGCTTCTCTATGATATCTAACGACTAAATCTCCCAAAAATCACAGTCAATTTCTACTCCTTCCATCTTTCTTTGTTTTGTACTCAATCGTACCCATCTAAATAAAATACTTCATAGATAGCATAAGCCGATACGCGAGGCTTGTAAAGGAGAAGCCCAGCTTTGCCTTCGAAAGATATCCAAATATCAGACATTAATAAACAAATTGTAACAGAAAACACTCGATTAGGCTAGATTTCTTCATGAGTTACATCAGAAAGGTCTGCGGAGTCTGAACGCAAGAATTGGGGGGATCTGGACGTAATTCGAGCGCGCTTCTACACGGTTTTCAATCATGTCAACCTCGGTAAATGCAGGCTCTTCCATTGCATCCATGACTAAGCCGGCTCGGAAAAAGGTTGAGAAGAGCTCATGTAGCGGTCGATGGAAATATAGCTTGAGTAAGCACCATAGTTAGAGTTTCCTAGTCCAATGGCAAGCACTTCAAAGGCAGAGTCTGACCTGAAATTTCGGTTGGCCGTACCCAGCAACACCTTTCCACGCCGGGACATGGAGATAGTTTCGAATGTTGATAGAGCGAATGACTGGAGGTTTATTTGTAGTCTCACCCGACTCCTCGATCTCCACATGCCGTGTTGCCCCCGAAGTGAAAAATACCGGATGCAGCATTGTAGCAACGAAACTGCGGCTATTAACATTGGACACGCGTATGGTTGACACTTTTCAGTAAGATACGAGAAATCACATACACGCCGTCATGCTTCAAAAGAGATGGCAGCGCTTTAGCTAGAGGCTCCAACGTTGGAATGTCCATGATAGCCATGTTAATGATCACGATATCGAAGCCATCGCCCTTAATACGTGAGTGGTGATGGAAAAAAGGCTTTCCACAAGCTACTCACCGTTAAGTAGGAATTTGCGAGTCCCTCGAGGTCAGTTGATTGTGTCACATCAAGACGTTTGAAAGTTACTCGAGCTTTCTGTTCATCAGGGCAGCGGCGAATAGCATGTGTGAGCATATTACCACTCCCATCTGTTGCTACAACTGATGAGCACCTTTCCGCAAGCCATCGAGTTACAAGGCCATTTCCGCAGGCGAGATCCAATGCCTTGCAGCCAGGCTTGAAGCTGATCAACTGCTCCAGACAAGGGCGTTGCAGAACTTTCCAATACTTGTTACCTTCGGGGCCTATATTCTCGTCCCAAAAGGCTGCATTTGAGCCCCAAGACTCGAGGGCATCAATCTGCTGGGTTGCCATGTCTCCAAGCTGCCAATGCGTTGTTCGATTTCTAGTCAGCCAATGTTCACTCGAAAGCGAATATGTTTTACCGACTCTTCTAAGTGAAATTGGCAATCATGGTGTAGATTTTGCGGCCATAGACTTGGAGAGCCAGAAAATAGCATATATATTTAAAATTAGCCAATAGTAATTCGAGGCACTGATATTCTTTCAGGGGTACGCCGGTGACTCATTGCCGGTTCTTGGGCCCGACGCCACTGAATTCAACTACCTAATTTCGGATGCCTTAAGTCAAGCATGGTGACATAGCGCAACTGCGTAGCTACCATTTTGACCCTAGGTCTATTCTACTCAGCCGAACCGCCCTTAAGTAGTTCGTCGCTCACGTTCTCTGTTATGATGCACCCATAATTACTCCTTCTCCAATACATCTAAGCTCTTTGTGTATCCTATTCTGATCCGCCATCTAGATTTATCCAACATCGATTTCGTAGCGACCTCATTTCAATCATATTTAAGTCTAAAAGGGCTGATGCTTGCACCCGCTCTGTAGTTTCCGTAACAAAAAGTCCAGTATGTTCTTGATGGCGTTGTTCTTTCTCTTGATGACCTATTTCCGAACTGGCGGGGCATAGTTGAACGACTGCGAACTATCATATCCACTTTGAATGATCGTTGTCCCGCGAGGCACTCCATAGGAACGAAAGTGCCTGTAGTCTAGAATCAATATACCGGCCATCTGAAGGCGAGAAGTCTGTATCAAAATATTGCAATCAGTTTGTTGCTCAATGCAGAGAACTTCACGATAGAACTTACGTGAGAATTATCGCCAGTAAGCCTATGATCCAAGTGAGTGTACAACTCGTACCAATGCAAATCCGTGCGACAATCTTGAACATCAAGACCATTACAGCAAACCAAAGTAGAATTTCGAGGCAGTTCAGTATCGCATTTACCTTCAAACTCGCCCACTTTCGAAACCCGTAGGTGTGTTCTGTTAGGAGCTAGTAGCTAATGACGACAACTGATTTGACTCCGTGTGGCCTCGGATTAGCAAAATGTTGGAGATTGTACAACTATTCAACATACCATCATCAAACCCATCATACTGGCCCTGGTAACTGGTACATCCTCGATGTTCATACGTGCACCAGTGAGTGCAATAACAATTATGATCAAGATGACCTGTACAGCATGAACAGGAGTTTTCAACCGCTTGTCAAAGAGGGCAGCGAAATTGGTCTCAAATCCGTAATGGTGAGGAACGATTGTTTGATGATTAGGATTGAAACCGACACTATGTTGATAGATTCGAGCCATTTGAAGGATCAGGATGGGTTTATCCCCTGAAATACTCCAGTGGTGTTGCGGATGTACTTTAAGATCAGATTCATAGCATTGCGCGGAAAGCATGGAACAATCTGACTCGCGGGTAGAGAACCCATGGAAAAAGCCGAGTTCTATGCGGGTACGAATACGCGTGTAGAGTTCACAGCACTAAGGAAGTCAACATATAATCTTCACATCGCGTCTCGTGACTTGATTAGATACAGCCCGCTTGAAGACTTGGCATATTCTGTTTATGGTCTGTCTTTGTACTAGTGTGTGGAATGTGTAACTCGCCAGCTCAGGTTTATCGACTTGACATTGATAAGATAATCAGAATTGCAGGGCAATCACACGCAATGGAGAGCACACTGGTTGGTTTTCGAGTTCTGCATGCCTTTAAGACACCTTTCCAGTCTGCGGCGGCTGGGTCCATCGCATCTCTTGTTTTAGAAAACCTTTGATGGCAGTTTTCATCTGGCTCACCTTCCAGTTCCAATTATCTCTGCTCTCTGTCCCATCTTTGTTTTTCGGGGCATCGACTATCTCTCTGGGAATACCATCCAGGGTGAGATAATGCCCCAGGTGAAGGACTCTTCCCATGCCCTTCGGCGCTGCTTCTTTACCGTCTCTGGCAGTGAGTGCTTTGCGCAGCTTCACCATGTTGTCATGCTCGCGTGACGTGAAGACGATGATGTAATCGTAAGTTTTGAACACATCTTTCGACAACCCTCTAGATCTGCGGGCAGATATCTCCTCCTGTATAGCCTTTTTGTAGGGGTAATCATATAGCTTGTTGTCGAACACTGCCGCCGAAGCTACTGCCTTGGGCTTTGCGTTGCCTTCGGAGAGCCCCATCTTGTATGACGGGTAAGTATACTTCAGGCCGTCGATAATGTCTGTGACCTCACTTCTGCTCTTTACAAAGAACCCAGCCGAGTGGATGAGCTTGATTCGCCAATCGCCGCCTGTTCTCACGGTCCATTCTCGAAGCAGTTTCGTCAAAGCCTCACATGCGACACTGCGTGCAACGTTATGTGGATCAATAAAGATGATCTTATAATCTGTTCGCAGAGGCGTAGCCGGGGATGGAGAAGGTCTCGCTCCGGCCTTAGGAGCCGAGTTAGCAGGGCCCGCAACGAGTAGCTCATTGATACCGACACATCCCATCAGTTGGAGATAGTCGCGTAGGTCTTGACGGTGCAGCTCGATGTCATCAGCGATCGAGGAGAGTTTCTCTGAGCTGCTTCCAAGAGCAAAGTAGGCCTGTGCTATGGTTTTGAAACGGAACTGGAAGCCAAATGGCCCGATATCATTGTCCCATTTGTGGAAGAGGGCGTCGACCTTGGCGGAATCATCACGTATGTCCTCCATGATGGCTAAGAGGTCTTCCGTCTGCGCGGGACGGAGGCGTGCTAGAGCACGCTTCTCCTCACGGCGAAGCAGCTGTTCTAGGTGGCCTAGAAGCGACCGTAGTCGCTCCATCCGCTTGCCAATGCGCCGCATTTGCTCCGGCGCATCTTGAATCCGCTGGTACACCTCTACGGCCTTATTTACAATCTCAATCACCTGAAGAACAGTATCTAGAGATAGCGACATGGTGGCAAGGCGGGTCCGACTGAAGCCGGCTCCGACACGGGCGACAGGTACGGCACGAAACGGCCACTCCGGGATGACGAAGGGCGGACTTGTCGAGGATCGGCAATGAATGAGAAAGCGGTGTCTGTGGCGAAAGGTGGGGAAGAATTGCGCCCTATTCTCTGCTGTAGGGCGGCGCGCGACATTGACCCCGTCCTAATGGCCTTACTACGTATGCGGCTTGACTTGGTTTGCCTGGGCGCCTCTGGAAGGATTCGTCGCCTGTTCTACAGGCACAGACTGCTGACATGACGTGCTGCAGGCGGTCACATTATCTTGACCGGGTTCTAGGAAGCGAAGGATAGCTTAGGTGACTGGGACTAAGGCGAGGATGTCTGCACCGAGTAGCCTACAACATGGCGTTCTGATTGCCGGCTTCGAGAGAGTGACCCACGAACAGCGACGCGCCAAGCGACATTTAGCGACAGCCACGCCTTTCGAGTCAGTTTGACATGTAGGCAGGCGGCTCTGTAATTAATTCATCGGGTTTCTTCGTCCTCAACGACAGAATTTAATTCGATATAATAAGGCCACCATCCTTGGATGAATGTGTCGATGTCCCATGCACAGCAACTATCAAACTATCAAAGACACTGAGGAAACGATCCGACTCTCCGACAAAATTACTTCTATAACCGTCATCGAATGCTGCTTACTAGTAAACCTCGCATCGTTTGGTCAAGATACGTCACTAGAATTGAACCCCCACCCCTACGATACCGCTTAAAGCACCCCCGGTCCGGCGCAGCGCAGTCAGCTGTACGACAAACACGGTGAAGGCCGAAAATCCATATCAATAGAAAGAAAACGCAATGGCACCAGTCAGACCTTTCAAAATCACAATTCCTGACTCGGAAATTGAGAAGCTGAGGAAGAAGCTGTCGTTGGCAACCTTCCCCGAAGAAGTCGAGTTCAGTGATGACTGGCACTATGGAGCCCCGCTGAAGGATATCAGGCGGTTGGCCCAGTACTGGCAAGATGGCTTCGATTGGCGCTCGGCCGAGGCCAAGCTCAATGAACTGCCCCAATTCAGTACAGCCATTTCTGTTGACGGTCATGGCGACATTGATGTCCATTTCGTGCATCAGAAGAGCACGCGTGCGGATAGCATACCGCTTTTATTCTGCCATGGCTGGCCTGGCAGCTTTCTCGAGGTGATCAAGCTGCTACCGCTGCTGACGAGCGGCGATGACGCTTCGAAACCATCTTTCCATGTTGTCGCGCCATCGCTACCCAACTTCGGCTTCTCTGGCCGCGCACCTCGACGAGGGTTTGCAATTCCTCAATACGCCGAGGTGTGCCACAAATTGATGAAGGCACTTGGATATGAGCATTATGTCACGCAAGGCGGAGACTGGGGCTACATCATCACACGGATGATGACCGTGTTGTATCCAGAGCATGTCTTAGCCGCTCATGTGAATTATGTGCGCAAAACGGAGCCGCCAACGTTCACCGAGACGCCCGCAACCTACCTAAAGCATGCAGTGCTGCCATACAGCGCCGAAGAGAAGGCTGGTCTTGAACGCACGAGTTGGTTCCACAATCAGGGATTTGGCTACAATCTGGAGCAGTCAACACGGCCAAACACCATCGGTTTCGCGCTTGCGGATAGTCCCGTTGCTCTGTTAGCCTGGATATATGAGAAACTTCATGACTGGACAGATAGCTATGCGTGGACAGACGACGAGGTCCTCACATGGATTGGCATCTACGCCTTTAGCACCGCTGGTCCGGAAGCAAGCGTCAGAATCTACTATGAGAGCACGCACAGTCAGCTCGAACTACATTCAAAGGCAAGAGCCTATGTCCCTGGTGTGCCTTTGGGTCTGAGCTATTTCCCACGCGATCTGGTTGTGCCCCCGAGCACCTGGGGTCGCTCATTAGGACCGGTTGTGTTTGAGAGACGTCATCAGGATGGTGGCCATTTTGCCGCTTATGAGCGACCCGAGAAACTTGCTGGGGACTTGATGGACATGTTTGGAAAGGGTGGTGGTGCCGAAAAGGTTGCAAAGAGAATTACGGCTGCCTAGATGACAGGCCAACTTGGAACTTTGTGGGATGGAGTTTAGCGTTACGGAAGGAATGATGTTTGAGCCAAGAAAAGCCGATAGCGTTAAATAAGCACGATCTTGTGTTATCACATCGCGGATTGACCAATAGTAAGCTCGTTTTAGAGTTCTGTTAAATTGATAATCATGTTCTATATTTAATTGACTTTTTACACCCGTAATATCTGGGCAACAAACTTAAGTCCATGGATTCGCCTGGGGCCTTTGGCAGTACAAACAAGATTTGTTAACATGTACTCTCTCTACTATTCCTGAAATTGTGTCTATGTTGTTCTTTGCAATTATTTCACTTTGAAGTTGGCATATAGGAGCAAGTTGATGCTTTCCGTTTCTGGTCAACAAAGTCTTATAATTTAACTCGACTCTACCTTCGCTGCAAAACTCCAATCACCGATAATCGACTTGAATTCCAAGTGCTTATCGTCTCCTCGATATATGTGTAGAGATAACTGGCTGCCAGCAACCATACGTGTGAGATTAAGACCTGTAGAATGAGTGATTCCCCGCCTAAGCGCCCCGAATATTAGGCTGGTTCTCAAAATGAAAGGTATCTAGGAAACAAATGCAACAATCTCAAGTAGATGCAAGCGACTTGAACGCAGTCTCCTCCAAAACCGTCCCATCTGCCAAAGTAACCTTTTCGCTAGCAACCAAGACAAACAAAATCCTGCAAAAATGCTCCGTCCGATTCACCCACTTGTGGTTTACACCACCCTGTACGAGGAATTCGCCTGCCCGGATCGTCTTGGCTTCCCCACCATCCAGCTCCAGCACAATCTCCCCAGAAATAACAACAGCGTAATCGAGACTCAATGTGCGGTGCATTGGCACGGTATAGTTTGGCGGAATGTCTGACAGGGAAAAGAGAACACCCTGCGGCGGACAACGTGGCAGCGTGTTCGCCCATCTCGGCACAGGCTCCGTGTTATTGACGGGGACTACTTGCCTTGTGTCGAAGAGGGTGAAGGCGCTGGCGCCTGGCCCGAAGGGGAGGAATGGCTGGACGAGCTCGTCGGATTCGAAGACCGAGACTCCGTCTTCCCTGTGGGTTGTTCGTAAAAGACGGGGTTGAGGCAGATTTTGAGCCATACCAAAAACGTTAAAGACAATGTCTGGCTTTAGAATGCCAAGAGGAGATGCGTGTTTAAGATAGGGGTCCCAATTAGTCTTGTCTTGGGGATTCTTGCTACCTTCGCCTGGAGAAGACATGGCAGATGGAGGACGGGAATAAGCAGAACTTATATATGCGTGGTCAAGCGGGTGTTTCAGATTGATCTGATTGATCTGTATGCAGAAGCTATGCAGTGTGATCCAACAACATCCTGCCGTTCGCGACTCGGCCTTTTGCTTCAACTTATACGTTTTTCGCGAGGCCGAAGCCAGATCGTGATGCGGCGACAGGGATTCTCGCGCGCCTTTCCTGATTGGATCAACAAGACGAGTCTTGGCGGAATTCGGTTTGCAAATGGGGCAAATGCGAACAGCCCCTGATTGGCTGCCACACGCCCAGGAGCTGGGTTGCCCATGTTCGCGGCTCCTGCGGCTGCCCACAGTGTCGGTGCGCGCCTGAGAGACCGAGCAGGGCTGAGCCCGGTGCGATCCCCAGTGTTGCCAGTCTCGCAAGTATCACGACATAAACGCGGAATAGGGCTGCCTGCATGCAGCTTTGAATCCTTCGGGGGTGACATAATTTCAAGGTCGTCCCGCCGTCTGCCCAACGACATGTTGTGGTCTACACCCGAACGTGGTCCGCAGAGTCCGAGTCTGACGTCTAGTTCACGTGGATCCGCTTCGGACGCCGAACAAATCCTCCACCCAGGTCGTCATTGTCGACCTCCTCGAATCTAAGTGATTGTTTCATGTTCGCATATCTCGCATATCTCCTTAGTCTGCCCATTCGAGATGGCCATTGAAATCCATCAAGGCCTGCCAGAATCCTTCGTCTAGTTCTCCGGGCTGGAGGAGCGAAGCTTGTTGATCCAACTCCATGGCTTGGCCCCCGCCTGCGGCACCTATCGAGGCAGCAGCATCTTTCAATCCATCACGTCGGAGGGGGTCAGGCATTTTGCTGGCGAACCAATGACGGATCCACCTGAGCTTATCGCGATACAGGGTTAGAAGTGACCTGTCCTCCAAGATGCGCCTCTTGCGTGCTAGTGTCTGTGATATGTTTTCAGCTTCTTCATATCTGTCCGCTAAATGCTCGCATAGAAGACCGAAGTCAAAACTTCTTCTTGCGACGTCAAGATCCCAGTCTGAGTCATCCAATAACAGCAGCCTACTCGCAGTCACGATCATGAATGACAGCCCTACTGTGGGACCGAATGCAAGGGAGCCAAGGCTGTCCGTGGGAATCGCGGCGAAAGTTTTGAAGAAATCCTTCGCAGCCTGTAGACAGTTCCACAAAGCCTCGGTGCGATATGCTGTGGCAGTTGGATCATTGGAGTTAAGAGACGGGCGCATGAAAATGGCGGGCTCATACAGCCGCGTGACAGAGCTATAATATTGTACCCAAAGGAGCACTGCGCACTATTAGCATCACCAGGCAACGAAATTCCTTCCTAGGCAAACCACATTGCAAAGAACAATGCGATATCAAGCCACGGGAGTCCGAAGACAAATCAAGTATCTCACCATTACACTCCACGTCAGGAGGTTGGTTCTCAACCAGCGCATCGAGCTCCTTCTTGATTGTAGCAATAGCCATGTATATCGAGCCATAGAATGCATGTGGCAACTGCGCATCAAGTTGCGGTGTTGGGGTCACTTCATGTACACGAAGGACCAGGCGTTGCATCCGAATCAATGCGATTAGAAACCTGTCAGAATCATACTCCTGGGAACGTTCTAGGATATCGCAACATTTTGCAACATATGGTGTGTAAGGTAGACCATAGATTCGACGGAACAATGTGGAGATCCTGTATGAAGTGTATGGGTTGGTGCATTACTCTCTAGCAGAATGGACGCTTGCACTTACACAGATGATTGGTAGAAACATCCAAGCATAGCTCGCATGTCATCTAGAGTGTGCTCTGCCTTTGTTGCAGCGGTATATTTCATCATTTGCTTTGCTTCCTGGACCAGCGGGTGAGGACCCATGGCAAAATCTTGTGGGTGTCTTGTCAACCCTAGATCAATAACAATACCCAGGGCAAGTTGAAGAAGGCTTGTAACTTTTGACTCCAGGTAGTAATGGGTGTCGCCCCTTGTCTTGTTAGCCAGCTGTTCAAGTCAATGATTCGAAGCGGCCTCACCAGGCTAAGAAAAGTAAGATTGCCTGCAGTAGCTCCATGCTTTTTTGTACTCGGACGACGACATGCTCAGCTATGTGCTCGCGAAACCACCGTTTGAAGTCTCGTTGTATAGAAGCTGGTTGTGGAGCAGAAACAGAGATGATTGTCCGAAAGAGAAGCGGCTTCTGCGCGTAAAGATCATATGCTGTCATCATTGCCGGGACTGGGACAAAGGGGAAAGAAGGAAAGTACACTGATCGATACAGATTCAGGGCTCGATCGGCTTCATCCAACGTCATGCGGAAACCAGGAATGATATCAACATACTCCGTCGAGGGAGTGGTCTGGTAATGTGGTGTTGCAGCTTCCGTGCTTAGAGAAGGCGGTGGTAGAATCCTAGGCAAGACCTGGAGCTCAGTGTCTGCATGAACAGGTTCCACAAGAGGATTGAGTAAACTCTGTATCCCGTTTCCCCTTTCAGAACCTGGAGGAGTCTGGCTATTTTGCTGGATCTGCTGGCTGGCATTGAGAAGTGACATGATGCCATCGATCTTCTCCTCCAGCTGCCCTACCCGGCTAAGATAGATACCGGTTAGCGGCTCCGACAAGAATAAACGGCAGCGAACCGGGAAAGCGGCTTACGTTGACGGACCCCGTCTTCTCCGGGGGTTCAATTCCGGCAGTGTACACGGTGCCTTGATTTTGGCGCATCTATCTCGTGGTTATGGTCAGTGGAGCCGTGGACTACGAATAAGCCGATTATCAAGATCGGTACCTGCCCCGGAGCGAACTAGGTGCTCGGGTGGTCCGATGCCGGATGGCCGGCATGGCTCCTTCGGAGGGCGGGGCTTCCCGAGGCCGAAACAGGGGAGCAAGACTGAACACACCTTTGACATGGACTGGCACCGGGTTCTGAGGTCCAGACACAGCGCATTTTAGAGCGGGCACAGCTTTGGCAGGCGCGTGGCCTGTACTTCTGCACCTCCGGGGTGGCGTGCGAACCATCACCTGAGAGTGGTGGAGAGGACATTGTGAATGAGCAGAAGAGGCAGACAGCTGGGTGGTTGCGGAGATGATTTGACGGTTTGCCGGAATTACCGCTCGATCCCCAGCCAAAGGCGTCTGGCGGGCGCGGAAGTTCCCTACCGTGCGCAGGGCGTAGCGGCTTCTGCAGCAGGATGCAGGAACATAAACAGCTAAGGCCAAGTGGCGTTGATTGCAGCAGATCTGGTGAGACGTCTCCCTCGAGTTGATCGTGCTGGGGAGAGTGTGAGAATGGCGCTGGTTGTTCGCTCGATCGAGCTCGGCCCGGTCGGGTAGGGAGAACTAATTACACCAAAGAAGAAAGAAGGAATGCTCGCGACAAGGGGGCTGTGCAGCTTGTCCGGGCCCAAGCGGTGAAGCCGAGAAGCTGATGCTGGATGATGTCTGTGCCGGGTACCTCGTACCTAACAGTTCTCAGTTAGTTGTCGGCGAAAATCCCTCTTAATAAGCAGGTACGTGCTAGGGTAAAAGTCCATGAACTCTAGGCCGAGAAGGTCGGCCGCCGGCGAGTATTTTGCTGCCCGTGCCGGTTGTCGCTCTCACTATGCCCGGCCAACCAATCGCAGCATCACAAGCCTCTTTCGAGTATCCTTCTTCTGAGACGCCTCAAGCGGAAGCTCTACCAGCAGCAGGCGACTGGAGGTAGCCTTAGCTTGTCCTATTTCGTTGATCGCTTTTCGG